TGGTACAACCATAAAAATTGGATTTCAGTAGGAAAGTTGCATATGATATATTGGATTTTTTCCTTGTAGAAAATATTTTGCTTTTTCTCACACTTTTCTCATGTGCATCATGTCCTCAGCACTTACAGTTAAAAGGTTGGGTAGAAGCTTAGGTGCATCTTGAGCCATCTGCATAGCCCTATATAACTTTGTACGTTTTCATGTTGTACTCCTGAGATAGAAGATTGTAAAAAAGCATGGAAATACATGGAATTGCTGCTAGATTTCATAGGTACATGTATTTAGACTTTAAAGTAAGGGGTACAATTGCTCGCACCCCGTGAAGTGTTGAGCATGATTCCACACTTGGATTCGGAGTTCACAAAATGTATTTCTGCCTCTTGGACTATGCAAGTACAGTGTTGACAGGCACTTCCAAGTACCAGTTGACTCCAGTGTGCTCCCTTCCAAGATGTTGCCACTGTGCCTAGATGTCATCTGCAGAGTTAGTACGAGACACATCTTTTCAATGAGAGTTGCAAACAGTCTTCTGCTGATCTGTTTGTAAAGACCAAGTGATACTTACTTAAATATACAATTGATTATCTTTGATTTATTAAGGAAAAAAACGAACAGTTTGGGTAATTACATCTCTAGCCTTACTGAATTTTCCCCGAGTTTTTATTTGATATATATATTATTCACTTTATCTTACACAGGCTACTGCATGTAACAGATGTATTCCATCAAATACAATATACCACATCCAGATTTTTAACACAAGTCCTTCTTGGTTTACAGGGTTTTCAGTGAATGCCTCATCAGAGCGGCTCAATATGGGAGAAATAGAGACTTTGGAAGACTACTGAGCATGTGCAAATCAACTGGCTTTTCCTGCATCTGTTAACCATGGATTCTCCGTTTTGGACACAGTACTCTCCACCATGCGTTCTTCTTCGCCTCGCAGTGAATCACAGAATCAATCATCTCAGGCTGCTTTCTCTAGCCCCAGCAAACCCTTTCTGCCCAGGACTGCACAGGCGTTGTTCCTACTGTCAGCCTAGAGTCGAGTGGACTTTGTTCAGAGTCCTGGGAGGGTGGGAGATAGGATTTGTTCACAACAAGGCTGATTTGGGCAGCAAGCTTTCACTGTGCTGTGATTTCTTCTGCTGACATACCTGGAAAAAATATCAATTGGGATTCTACAAACCATTGCTTCCCTCTCCTGGTTACTCTTACCACATCCAACACGTGCAGTCATGGAGAGAGAAAGAGAGTTTGTGGTTAACAGATGTTGGTCAAAACCAAAATGCCACACAGATACTGACTTCCGCGCTCCATCAGGGCAAGAGGTGCTCTCCCAAGCCAGGAGTTGCATTCATAAGCTAACCTTAGAACTGGCAACAGCAGGAGAGGGGCGGTGGTGGGCGCAGTTTAGCTTGGGTTGGTTTGAAGTTGCACACCCCCTGCCAGCCCTTCTCAGCACATTATTTTTGGAGGGAAAGCTCGAGTCTGTCTTCATTAGGTGGTGATGCTGAAGCTGGTGGAGTTCCCCGTCAGCATACTCCAGCCTTCCTGGACAAGTGGGGACTTCTACTCTGGGAAAAAAGGGGGGTGGCATCTCTTCTTTCAGGTTGAATTTGTCTCTTAAATGCTACCTTCAGAGGGTTAGGACCAGTTTATTTTGAGCTCTTTTCCTGCAAATTTGTCTCGTTTAAGAGACAGTAGGATCTTTACCGTGTGGATCTTTAGTCTTTGGTGAGGGCGAACACTGGCTTTCAGATATATACCCCAGCAGTCTTAGCTAGTTGTCATTTCAAGCAGTGCTTAGGTTAATGAGCAGAGATGCCCTTTTGTCACGGAGAGACTGTGGAGGGCAAAGCTATGTGCAATGACAGCCCTGCTTATCTTCTACACCTTAAACTACTTCACACACCTTCACTGGGATCCATAATGTTTAAGTACTTACGGAATCATAACCTTCCTCTCTCACCGAAAGATTAACACCACCTTCCCTTCTCCACCCACCCATGTGCACACACCACAAAAGAAAGGAAACGAAAACTGCCAAATGCACTTAGTTTCAACTCCCTGGTCCCATCTCCCATTCCCAGAGAGTTATGACCTGCCAAGGGAGATACGCTACAGTTTTGGTGGAGTTGTATAAAGGTGTCTGTCTTTCTGTCATCACTGCCTAAAGAAAACAGTTCGAGTTGCTCAAGAGCAGTTTGGCTTTGGATTTTGTTTCGTTTGGTTTATTCATTTTTTGGGGTCACCTTCCCCTCCTCCTCCTCTCTCTTCCCCCTGCCCCCAAACATGTACAGTAACTATACAGAGACTGCTGCAGACTTGTATATAGTTTTTGGATCCAATAGCATGGAGAGACTTGGAACTGTTGCAAATCCGGTCTCCCTGTCTCCTTTGCTTTGTAAATTCATAAAAGGGGGAAGAGGGATAGTTAAAATGTTTACAAAACTTTAAACTCCCTCTGAACTTTTGCCAGTGTGGGGGGGGGAAAGAGAGAACTTAAATAAAACCTGGTTGTATTATATCTGAGAGAAAACTTTCTGCTTGCTTTTGTCGAAGCTGAGTTTTGAGATAATTCCTGGTGCTAAAACTGACCCAAAACTCAACTCTCATCAGTTTTCATCAAGAAACAACAAGCAAATACCCGGGATGTGGAACAACAACTGCTGCTTTATTTCTTCCCTGGTGAGGAATACCGGTGGGTTTTTTCTACTTGATAAGTTTAGAGTTCAAATAAACACCAGTAAGTTGAGATTGGAAAATTCTGACAAGAAAGCTTTAATTTCCCCCCCTCTCTGCACAAAAACACGTGCATTCATGCTCATGTTGTTTATGCAGGAGAGATCAAGCCATGGCTGGTTTTCTGTTACTACAAACACTCGGCCATGAAGCCTTTTTTTGCCAGTGGGTAACCACCCCACCCAGTTCAATTCCCTAAACGAGAGGTTTTATTTCTCCCCTCAGTGTAAAGTCCACACAGACACCTTGTAGGCTTCCCTTTTTAGACAAAATCTTACTTTCCTTTTTTCTACTTGCTGCTTGTTTTTGTGTGGAAAATCCCAGTAAAAGTTGATGATAAATGTCCTTCTACCACTCACATGATCACAAAGAATATGAAGTCAGTAAAGAACTAACTTCTACAGTAGCTTTGCATTATGTTTAGCTGATGTCTTGGAGAGAACAGTACATGTTTAGGCTGATAATTTGACTTTGTTTTAATTTCTTCCTTTTTTTTTAGTGTATAATGTGTCTGGTTCATAAGTACTTTCTATTTTTAATGGTATGATCTAATTTCTTCAAGCTAATTTTGGACTACTGTATACTGTGTAACAAATAAGCAAAAGCCTGTTAATTTCCAGCTCAGCTGGGGAGCAGGAAAGGAACAATTCGCCGATTGCTAAATGAAAATGCAGAAATGCAAGCAGGGAAAATGTGCAGTGATTTGTCGAACCCCGAGGACCTTGCTCGGCTTCTGAGAATTTGTAGATAATGGACCAGTGGGGAAGATCTTGCTCTTAATATTTTAATATTCTGGCTTCTGTATTTAGTACAAAGGTAAGATGCTGGCATGTTCAGACTGTACGCTCAGGTGACTACCTTGTCACCTTCTGTGGCAAACAGGGCCTGTTTCTGTAGCGAAGGTCACTTGGATCAGTAGGGATGGGAAAAATAGGAGCTACAGCTTTGTGTCTGCTGGTGGATATATATTTATGCATTTCCAGCTCCTTTTCAGACAGAATATGAACATAGAAAGCTAACGGGGCTTTGATCCAAGTTTGTCAGATGATGTTGAATTCGATGCTAGAGATGTCTGAGGTTTCTTTTGAGCACATTTCACCAGGTTACTTCCTAACTTCTCATTTCGCTGCAGGGACAGTGCTCAGTCCTCTTTGTTTTTCCTGCTTCCCCTCACAGCCAGGCACTTTTGCAAAGAACTGCAGCAAGCAGATGATTTAAAAGGACACCTGAACTGTATCTGGCGCCTGTCAGAGAAAGCCAAAAAGCAAACAGATCTCTTAGCAGAAAAATCTGAATCTGAAATTTAAGACAAAACTACTCATGTCATATTTGCAGAGCATAAAGAACTGACATTGGGGGCGTTTATGTACTTTATTACATCTTTTTCTGAACGGAAACTGTGAAGCATTTCATAGTCGTATTGATTTTAAAAAATCCTAATGAAATTCTTCTGTCCTCTGACAATAAGCTGGAGCATTCCCCTTTTTACACACTTCATCCTTTCCCAAGTCTCTATTGGTGCAAATGTGATTTGAAACAAACCTCAGTTTTCTCTGCTGTGAACTTCTCACAAGCCCACTTGGAGGGGAGGGACAGAGTGGCAGAGGGTTGCAGGAGGAGGTAGTGTCTGTGCAGTTCAGATCCAAGGAGGATGCTGGCCTTGCCTGTCAAAGGTGACTCTCCTGGAAGACCTACCAGATTTTAACAGGCAGCTCTGCCAGCAGAGACCACACACGGCTCCTAGTCCACCTCTGTAAGTATTAACACCCAGAAAACAAGGATGCCACGGAGCTGCTCTGGCGCTGTTTCAGAGCATTTTAGCCTCAAAAGATTGAGGCCCTTGTTCTTTCACTGTGCCCACCCTGGAAAGACCACTGCCATCCTGCACACTGAGGAGAGGGCAAAGCCCTCGAGCAGTCTGCTTGGTTTTGGGGTTAGCTGCCCCAATGGCTCCTGTGTTATTTCCCATGCCACAGGATGGCTGGCCAGAGGGAAGGCATTCCAGGAGCATGCCCATGTCCTCTGGGAAGGGCTTGCCAACAACCGTTTGTGTGTGTGCCGGCCTGGCAGGGTGACGGATGCCTAATGGCTCGGCTGCCTATGGGGTTTTAGGCACAACTTTTAGAGGGTGGAGCTGCCTTCAGGAGGAGGTGTGCTCTAGAAGTCCGAGAGAGTGAGTCTCTGCTGGGCTTTGCACTCTCTGTGTCCACTTGCTGTTGTGAAGGAAATTTTTTTTTTACCTGACTGGACAAAGTTTTTATTATACCAGTGAAATTCCCAAGTTCTTTCGTATTTTGAAGAGTTTTAAGGATTCCTGCCGACACTTTTCTTGAGGGAAGCCATGCCCTACCACAGAGTCCTTCGCCTGGTCCTGCTAATGCTGTGTGGCATCCTGGTCCCTGCTGTGCTGACAGGTAAGGAGCTTTGTTTGCATTTAAAGCCCAAAAACATGGGACATCTTTCACTAACCTGCCTCTCTCTCCTTGCATACCTCCTCTCCCTCCCCTAAAAACATCCATAAGTATTTATTGAATTTATGGAAACTAGCTCTGGAATTGGTGCCTGGTGGTGAGTAAGAATATATTCTCCATCCTGAGACCATGTTTCTGTTGGGGAAAATGGAGAAAATCCTTTGTCATGTTTCCTAAGCTGAACAGCAGTAGCGCCTCCATGAGCATTAGTGACAGTAGATCAGTAGACAGATCAGTCAACAGTAGATGGGGTGCTCTCATCAGCTGATGGGAGCTTTTGGTGGTAGGAAGAAGTTACAATCGTGAAAAGAAACATTTTCCTGTGGCTGAAGCATGTGTGCCAATTCCGGGTTCCTTCTATGCTTTCTGCTACAGCAGAGCGCTTCACCACAGCTGCTGTAACTTAGAAATATGAAAGTGTCTATGAAAATGTTTAGCTCAGTCAAAAGCTGAGGCATGCATCTAAACTGTTTGAGTTTCTGTCTAGAGCTGGGTATACCGAGGCCGGCAGCAGCACTGGGAAGGTACGTGGCTGCGATTCAAGTTCAGTGAGGTGATGGGAAATGTTAGTGTGAGACACCTATTCTGTGAGGCGCTATTTTTTAAGGAGGTGGTTAGTAATTTCAGCCTTACCTGCTCCTGCTTTCAGCACAGCTGTGCAGGCTGAAGGGATCCGAGGGCACAGTCAGCCTCAAAGGCTGCCTGGTCTGAGATGGATTTTACAAATGACAGAAAACTGGCTTCCCAACCGACTCCATAGATGGGCTCTGAGCGTATAGGTGGAAACTCCTACAAGGAACTGCTTCCCTCAAAGCCTCTCTTTTTAAGTGCAGGCGAGGCTGTGAAGGGATGGCTCAGGCCAAGATAACAGGCAAGAGCATAATGCTTGTTTTCCTAAATTCTTGTCCTGCCTTCCAAGACCTGGAGCAAGGCTGGATTGCAGTTCCCTTCCAGTTTGTTCTGAGCATCTTGCCTAGTGGGGGGATCCTGGCCAGCCTTCTAGCAAATGATATTATTTCTTTTTTAAAGAAGCTTTCATATGGGTAGGGGAATCTATCGCTGCACCTAGCTGGAACATCTGTAGGTACAAGAACAGAATTACTGTAGCTGGTATTTCCCCCACAGATCCTCCCCTTGTAGGGCACCTTGCTGGGAAACCTTTACAGTAACTAAGAAATGAGCACTAAAAAGTGGATGTTTTCCTTCTTAAATCCTGAGCTTTGATTTTTGTGTGGTGGAACGTTAATCACTTAAGCACAGTTTCAGTTTGTAGCTTGCTCGTGCTCCCAGAAGCAGCGGCAGTGCTCTTCCCCAAAACCAGGTAAGGTCTTGACTTAACTGTTAGTCTGTTTCACTCTGCACAAATTGATTCATTTCCAGTGAAACTTTGATCTGCTTCCTCTCCAAGTTAGGATTTCTTTTACACTATTTTAAGCTTCCAATATTCGTTGCATATTTGCTCTGTCTCCTGCCTTGCCAGCTTTCCTGTGTACTTGCTCTCGGCTCAGCTTTGCAGCAATGGTTTGTACCAAACTGTCGCTGCCTCCCTGTGTCACTTTGCTCCCGTGAGATACCCCAAGTTCACTTAATTCCTTTAGTGGGTGAGTTGCATTCACGCAGTGAGACCAGTAGCTCTTGAAGAGCTTTGTACTGATGAATCCAGTATTTGGATTCTGGGGCGTTAGGAGAGACTCCATGCTTTCTCTCAGTTGCATTTTAGAGGGGCTTGAGCCATCTTAAGTTTGTCCTTCTCTGCTACCTCAAAGCCAGGCATCAGGGAACCAGCCTGTATGGTAAGTCATCCCAGGAGCAGAACGATTTTCTGGTGCATTAGGAGTGGAGAGGTACCTATCCCCAATACAGGGGCTTTTAGTGCACAGTGGAATTTTTTCTGCTTTTCACCCCATTAGAAAAGGAAATTTCCTGCCTTGCGCAGACAAAGAAGGGAAGGGCACACAGACAGCCCTCTGGTCTCTGTGCATACACATGCAGCCCTGCCTTTCTGTAAACAAGTTTATTTAACATTCATCAGAACCCCAACGCTCTGCACTGCTCCACGCTCGAGCTCCCGGCGCTTGCACATCACAGGCTGCCCTTTGTGCTCCCTATGAAGGCCTCTTTTCATCCCTGCCCTGGCCCTGTGCCTGCTGTGGCTACCTGGGGCTGGACAGCCCGTTGCTGGCCTCAGAGTTCACCCAGCCCCTGCCCTCCTGTCTCAGCGCCTTGTACTTTCCGTAGCAAAGCCCTCCACAGTGAGCAGAAGCGGAGTCTGCCTTGGACAGGGCTGCAGGTGATGCTGGCCATGCAGACCTGAGGTCCAGAATGAGTCTTCCCTTCCTCGTTGGATTTAATTTTATCTCAGCAGTGATTCAGAGCTACCTAGTACCAAAACCCTTGGGTAAGTGCTCAGGAGTTCAGTGAGATGTGAAGGATCTCGCTGGCAGTTGAGGTTCCCATCTGGGTGTAGGAGTCGGAGCACTTTTGGGGTGCCGGTGGGTCATGTACCTTGATATGGCTTCTTGCCTAGCCAGTCTGGTTTCCTGGATGGTGTGGTCAGGGCTCTGCGACTGGAGAAAGCGTGAATTTCTCCTCCAAGGTGTACTGAGCTCTTTCCAATATCCCATTTGGCAGAAATGGGGAAACAACTGAGTCTTTAATCCTCTTTGTTCATGTCATCTTGGTGCAACAGGAAACAGAGAGCCAGTTCAAGGACTTTCTGCACACCAAAATCCTCTCCGCTTCCACTTTCTCCAAACCCAAGTGGCGCTTGGGCCTAGAGCACAGGAGGATTATGAAGAGTTGATTTTTATTTTTTTCCTATTGGCAAAACCAGTTTCAGTTCATATAATGGATTCAGAGCTCCAAGTGAAGTGGAAGTTAGTAAAAAGCCTTTGCAAGGCCTTGGCTTCTGAATCCTGTATATATTTGGTATCTAAACTCTGATGTGGGCTCATGAATTTCCTTGTTTTGAGCTAATGTGGAAATACATTATACTGCAGTAGCACATCAGAATGCATATGGGGGGGGAAGCAGCAGAGCAGGAGATGTTGTGCTCAAGGAAAACGTACAGTAGAAGACCTTGTTTAAGGACATCTTTCTGTAGCAACTCGTGTGTCTTCATTCTCAACAACAGGAGAATAAAAGATAATTAGAAAGTTTTTAAAGTTCAAGTACTAGAATGTGAGAAGTAGTAAATAGGTTTTGTCAGGCAAATTTCTTAAAAAGATGTGGTTGTTCCAACAGGTCTGTCCAGACTTAACAGCAAGTCTTTGTAGACCATTACTCAACCTTGCTCTGCACCAACACTCCTTATAAATTACTGACACTAGTATCAGCTTCCGACTAAGGTTACTGGGTTGGAGGTGGAGGGTGTGCTCCAGAAAGCAGGAGGTAACCTTAAGTTTTTCCCCTTCCTTGTAATTGATGTAATGTGAAGACACAACTTGTGGAATAAAAGGAAAAAGCTCTCAGGTTCTGAAAAGGATGTGAACAGTGGAGTTGGATGCCATTAAGTTGACCTGTGGACTGTCGTGACTGAAGAAACTGTGTGCAATGCTCAGGTTGCAGCGGGTGCCCTTGCCTCTTTCCCAGGACCACCGAGCATCTGTGTCCTATTGAGGCACTCATTTCTGTCACCGTAAGCATAAACTTGTCACCCAATGGAGGAGGAAAGTCTCATTGTCATCTCCTATTGACAGGCTGTGAGGATGATGCACAAGCTGGTTTCAGCATCTCAAGGAAGAGTATTGGTCACTGGTGGCTGATCTCCAGAGAGGAAGATGTTAGGTGGCCACATCTGCCTGCCTTGAGATCTTGCAGAGTCTGCCTATGAGGAGGTTCTGGTTATTTGGGGGTATCTTGAAGGATCCTTTAGATTTGATCGGCTTCCTCAAGAGTTATCGCTTGTGGAGACCTTTCCAGTCTTTCAGCCACTGAGTATCTGGGGTATGGGCTACCATGTCACTGTGCTGGCAGCTCACCCCACCTCCTTCTCACTGAGCATGGAAATAGCCGTTTTGTCAAGCTGCCTTTGGCGTCATCCCTTCTAGATCTCACTCAAGTCCTGGTGGGTCCCTGCATCATTCGGAAAACTCATGGTGTATTTCTTTATAGTGTAGCTACTCTGATATTTTCTTCCCTTTTCCTGGCCTCAGTTGTAACTAACCCGTGCTGGAGAGAGGGAGAATACGCAGTGCAGTATAGCTATTTCCCTGAAATAAGGTAATTGGTAGTGTCAGCATATGGGAAAGAAGAGGTGCCATCCTCCACCTGGCCTGTTGTAAAACACTGAAATACTTTTAGTCCATTTTTTCCGGCTTCCATCTTTGCCCTGTAAAACCCCAATAACTAAGATTATTCCATGTCTGTCTCTTAAGTGCTCCCAAGCTGTGTTTTTTACCAAGTGGATTTCACTGGTAGTCTGTGGAGCAACAGTTGCCCTCAGTCTGTGCTCCAGTGCTGAGACAGAGTTAATGCTGGGGAAGAGCTTGTTTGTGCCATGGGGTCAAGGTTTCTCTCCCTTCAGACTACCCAGCACTGAGGCACGAAGCCTCAGCAGTGGTGGGGTTACCCATGTGTGTCAGCAGCCTGGCAGCCACTCCGTGTGCCCACCTGCTGCCCCTGCTGAGTCGCTCCGAGGCAAACAAACCACACGAGTGCACCAGGTGGGTTTTCCTAGAGAATAGGACTGGTCCTGAGACTGATACCAGCACAGCTAATGCACAGCGCTCTCACCCAGATGTTAAACTTCTGGTCTTGTGATGGATGATGTTTTGAGCATGTTCCTTGGTAGTTCTTCATTTCTACAAAATTCTTGAGTGGACAGGAAAACCATGCGCTACTTTGCCTTTGATATTTGGTTTCCAACACTTGATTGCACCCCCTCACTTGAGATTGCGATGTGTTTGGGTTTTTTGCACAAGTAAAAAAATGCTGCGCCCTGCCCCAAGGCTGTGGAGGTCTCGTGTAACTTGCCCTTTCCCTGTGAAAGGCTGCTGCTGGGCTGGAGCTGTCACTCAAGAGGCATTCGTTCAGGCACACAGACCACGTCCTCCTCCTCACAGTCAGGACAACAGTAACCATGCAGGTGGGCAGGCCTGTCTGCTCTGGTGGTGCTTTTCTTGTAGATCTTATTTAGAGTCCTGGTCTCCTGCTCATGCACAGAGAAACTGAGCCCAGGAGGGAGAGGGACTTGCGGTGGTCACACAAAACGTCAGCAGCACAGAACTGAACCTCCTGAATCTGGTCCCATGCCTGTACTTAGAGCCTGTCCAGTCAGAGTGTACCCAACAGGCGACTGGAAGAGGTCCTCATGTCTCACTTTGAGATATGTGAGCCCTTATTAATAGTGTGTGTGTGTTGGTTTTTGGCACCTAACACAAGCTCTGTCCTTCCCCCTCGCCTTTCTTGCTTTTACCAGAGGACTAAAATGGGAGCGTGGCATTTAATGCTGCTCTGTTAGAGATCTGCTGCTCTCAGCCAGTGGCAGCGTGGCTGGCGCTCACTGGGACTGTCAGGGTACTGCGGAGGGGAGCAGATGTGACTTCTCCGGTTGTTAAAGAAACCTGCTGGACGTTTGGGGATAGTTGGATGAGCGGTTGGGCTTCTCAAATGGGTAGGAATGGAGGCATGTGAGGACATGAGCTGTTAGTTTAGGAGGGAAAATCAAAGGCGAGTCTTGGAAAGAAAAGTGCTGGTTACAAACAGGCACTCTCCCAGGCTGCAGCAGCAGTTTGCTCTGGAGAGACCTGCCTGATGGCAGCTTTCTCTGGGGACGGTGCTTGTGTTTGGTTTTGTGTTCCCCCACCCCGTGTGCCTCCTGCAGGGCTCTAGGCATCTGCTCTAGCAGCATCGAGGTGCAGGAACCAAAGAGGAGACCCAGCAGTAAGCCCTGGCTCTTGGTGATGTTCAGATGCAGGTATTTCACTTTATGCATGTGCACGAGACTGCTGCTGCTTCTGAGCTGACAACTCCCGTTAGTGAGGCACTAGACCCAACTGAAAGGAGCTGTGTTTCCCTTGGTTGAAGCGCCATTAAGATAAAACCACAAGAACTTGGGACAGAAAATGCATGTTTAGCACACTCTTCCCTTTCTGTAAGGGTGAACTGAAAGCATGTTTTAATCAGATGAGGGGAATTAACAAAATACATATCCAGAAGCCATCCAGGACTCTATCCAGGTCTTAAAAATCACTGAGATCATAAACAAATTAGACCATTTCCTCTTTACTTGGCTATCAAAAATAAGCTCTGTGCCCTGCTTAAAGAGAGCTGCAATAAATTTTTAAGGAATTAAATGCACCGGGGACAGGAGAGACTTTCTGGGACCTGTGGGTCTGGTTAGAAAAAGAGCCTTTGCTCTACGGTTGGAAGGGGTAGCGCTCCCTCCTTGCCCCTTCGAGAATGGGGAGTTGCAAAGACCCTGTCCAGGTCCTACAGTGTCCCTGGATGGTGCCTGCATCTATTATAGATGATCTGAGCTAACGCCTTTCCCCCGGTCAGATGTGAGGGGTACACCCAGCTCTTTTGGCTTTGGAGAGAAAAACATTCTTGGGAAATGCAACAACGACATCCTCCCAGCATGTTCTCTTGCCAGATGGGAACGTCTGCAGTGTTGGTGCTGGCCCTGGTGATGTTGACACAGTCAGGAAGGTCATAGCTGGAGTGTAGCTCCTCTGTGTGGAGTTTCTCCACTTGCCAAAGCAGCCTGGAACCGGGGCTTCAAAAGCGTTACGTATGTTTGGTCTGTGCCTAAACCAACAGCTTCCTAATGCCACTGTTGCTAACTAAATAGCCTCAGCTCTGCTTGGTTCGTTTCCCTGTTGTTCTAACTACATTCACCCACTAAATTCTGTATTCCTCCTGATCTGTCCTCTGGTAGCTAAACCACAGAATTTATAGAAGAGAGGTCCACTGGAAATGGCACTTTCTGGGAGAGCCTCTGGATGGGATGTCAGTCTCCAGCTCTGCTGGTTGGTTTTGCAGAACAGGTTGGGAAGGGCCCTGCAAAGGGCTCGGGTGTTTCTGGGGAGCCCTCGTGGAGCACGAGCCACTTGTGTGCTTGTTCTGGGGACCTGAGATGCCACCTCTGATGCAGTGACCACAGAGGTACCAAGCGTGTGAGGACTGCTACTCCCAGCTTCTCCCCAGGGTGGGTCAGCCAGCCAGGGTATGCTGGCATTGCTGCCTGACTGAACTGGCGCAGGCCTCAAACTGGGAGCTTATTTGTCTCTGTCGTTGCTCGTTGGGCCAGACTTAAGCCTGGCAGCTGTCTCGCTGAAAATCCTGTAGCTTTTATGGATGTAGGAAGGACTTTCCAAAACTAGTCTAGAACCTGTTGTGTTCCCGAGTCTCTAGGCAGCCTTGAACAGCTCTGGGGACAGTGGGAGCTACTCTTTGATGTGAGCCCTGCGGTAAGCCCTAACAGTGGGTTTGTACAGGCAGCAAAGGTCAGTGTTTTGGTGTTGGCCCTCCTGTTCTTTTTGATGCAGGGCTCCTACGGCACAACAAAGTGTGGTGGAGCCCATTAGTGCTGATTCTTCAGCGCTCTCCTCCCACAGAGTGCCAGCTGCCCGTGGGAGGCAGGGAGGGCTCCAGGTACTTAAAGCTGGGGCTGGCGCTGCCAAGATGTGCTGCTGCGACCTCTCTTGCTGGGCCAGGGAGAGCTGGGATGGTGCTGGGGCGAGTCTCCGAGTGCCCCTGGTACACCGAGAGACACCATGCCAGAGCCGGGGTGCCGGGGATACCTCTGTGCCTTGCCCCAGAGAGCCCAGGCTGTTTGCTCCGGCTCCTCTGCTGCCCTTTTTCTCAGCCCAGATAACAATCATGTCAGTTCAGGTGGGCCCTGGCACTGGATGCTGTTAGGTCTGGCCCCCCCCCCCCTTTTTTTTTTT